TTATACAACTGCTTTGAGCCACGAAAAATAGCCTGCTAGGGTTTAATCTTCCCGTCTAGCGTCTAGTGTCAGGTGGCTAGGGTTTAGGGTTTAGGGTTTGGTAGGGTTTGGGTACACCTCGAGAGGCAGAAAGAGAAATCGTATCTATTTAAGCTTTAAGCAGCAATGCATGCACAAAAAAGCCCCAAAAGTTGCAGCACCTGACTGCATGCGATTAAAATAAAAAGAAAAAGAAATAAAAGATTTGTTAGGGTTTAGGGTTTAGGGTTTATATCGATGGGTATGGTAGCAAGAAGTAAGAAGACTTATAGTAACAAATAAATAAACAAAGTAAATAAAATAAATAAATAAATAAATAAATATAAATAAAATAAATAAAATAAAATAAATAAATAAATAAAATAAAATAAATAAGAGAAAGAAAAAGAAAAACAAACACAACAAGAAGATAACTAAACCCTAAACCCTAAACCCTAATTTAACCACAAAAAAAGGAGACAAGAAGAGACAAGAAAACAAAAAACACAAACCCCACAAAGCAGCACACAAGTGTTGTTCTCATTCCTGCTGCTGCTGGTACTGCTGCTGCTGCTGCTACTGCTGCTACTGCTGCTACTGCTGCTGCTGCTGCAGTTGCTTCTTCTGCTGCTGCACCTCCATCTTGCCTAGCCTTTGGGTAAGGGATGCATAACACTCTTTATTTAGTCTTGTGTCCTTTCCAAAGGGAAGACTGCAGCAGCAGCAGCAACAGCAGCAGCAGCAGCAGCAGCAGCATCAGAAGCAGCAGCAGGACAAGCAGCAGCAACACACATCATACACAACACATGAATGATAGCAACAACAGCAGAAGCAGCAGCAGCATTGCACATCCTACGCACTATCAACAGCAACAGCAGCAGCAACACAAGCAGGAGCAGCAGCAGCAAGAGCACTAACAGCACCAGAAACACCAGCAGCAGCAGCAGCAGCAGCAGCAGCAGCAGCAGCAGCTGACTGGAATCCAAGTTGTTCGCAAATATCTTCTATTTCTTTAAATGTTAAACCCGACTCTTCTGCTAACTCCCCAACTGTCTCATCAGGGTACCTGCAGCAAAAAAAAAAAAAAAAAAAAACAAAAAGGGTTTAGGGTTTAGGGTTTAGGGTTTGAGTAAGGGGAGGAAATGCTTTCTAACGAGGGTTTAGACAGAGTATTTTAGGGTTTATTAGGGTTTATTAGGGTTTATTAGGGTTTATAATGGCTTATTATTGTGTACGAGGGTTTACGAGGGTTTAGAGTACTAAACCCTCGTAAACCCTAATTATGTGCCCCAGCCTCCCCAAGACCCCCAAATCCCTCAAAAAAAAGCGTAAACCCTTGATTAGGGTTTAGGGTTTACAGGAATGAAGCGCTATGAGGATCAGCAAGATGAAGGAACTCAAGAAGTGCCCAAGCATCATGGGGTTTAACAAAAGTGTTTAGGGGAGAATTAGGGTTTAGGGGACAAGAGCAACCAGCCCTAGCAAGAAAATCCCCAATAAAATCTATGGGGACCTCAAAACGTTCAGATAAAGACTGCAGCAAAAAAAAAAGGGTTTAGGGTTTAGGGTTTAGGGTTTAGGGGTTTGAAGGGGGAGGGTTTGAAGTGTTCAGAGAGAGAGGGAATGGGGAAAGACTCTAAGGGTTTAGGGTTTGGGGGGAGAGGAGGAGGCATGCAAGATTACCAGCTGCAAATAGTAGCAGCAGCAGCAACAATAGCAGCGGGAGCAACAGCAGCAGCAGCAACAGCAGCAGCAGCAACAGCAGCAACAGCAGCAGCAGCAGCAGCACCTGGATGGTTTCCGTGAGGACGCCGTCCTTTTGTGCCTCAAGAAACTTTGCCTTCTTCTCGTCATCAGACAATTCCTGCAGCAGCAGCAGCAGCAGCAGCAACAGCAGCAACAACAGCAGCAGCAACAGCAGCAGCAACAGCAGCAACAGGAGCAACAGCAGCAACAGCAACAACAACATTAGCTCCCAAGTCTCAAACCCTTACCCCTAAATATGGTTAGCTAACACCACCACCCTCACCAAGCCCCCTAAACCCTAAACCCTAAACCCTAAACCCTAAACCCTAAACCCTAAACCCTAAACCCTAAACCCTTGCCTCATATGGGTCTCCTCTGGTGACGGTTTCTTCTATTGGTACTTCTCCATCAACACGAAGATCAAACACTTTAGGGATCGACTCCCCTAATAGATCCTCTGCAGCAGCAGCAGCAGCAGCAGCAACAGCAGCAGCAGCAACACAAATTGCAGCAGCATCAGCAGCAGCAGCAGGACAAGCTACAGCAACGGCAACAGCAGCAGGACATATTTAAAGAAGCAGCAACAGCAGCAACATCAGCAACAGCAACAGCAGCAGCAGCAACAGCAACAGCAGCAGCAGCAACAGCAACAGCAGCAGCAGCAACAGCAACAGCAGCAGCAGCAGCAGGAGCAGGAGCAGGAGCAGCAGAAGGATACCTTTACTAGGATAATTATGTTCAATTTCTTTACTAATTATTTGCTGCAGCATTTGCTGCTGCTGCCCCTGCTGCTGCAGTTGCTGCATTTGCTGCAGCTCATCAGCAGTAAAGAAAATATTCCCCATCTTTTTTTTTATTAAATTACTTAATTCTTCTTCTCCTTCTTCTTCTTCTTCTTCTCCTTCTTCTTCTTCTTCTTCTTCTCCTTCTTCTCCTGCTACTGCTATTCTTATTGGTTCTGCTGCTGCTTCTCCTGCTGCTGCTGCTCCTGTTGCTGCTGCTGCTATTTTTTCTGATGCTCGTGGTGTGTCTGATGATGTAGGTCTCGCTGCTGCTGCTGCTGCTGCTGTGTCTGCTGCTGCTGTGTTTGCTGCTGCTGCTGCTGCTGCTGTTGCATTGGGGTGTCTTGCTGTTCCCTTTGCTGCTGTGTCTCCTTCTTCCTCTTCTTCTTCTTCCTCGTCCTTGTCCTCTTCGTCCTCATCAGCAGCAGCTGCAGCACCATCAGCAGCAGCAGCACCATCAGCAGCAGCAGAAGCAGGAGACACCTGCAGCAGCGGGTCCCCTACCCTCTCCTTATCTATTGCTGCTAAATCATCAGGAGATAAATGACGAGTTGATGGTTTCTGTTGATCAAATTTAAATACTCCTCCCTGTATATAAACCCTAAACCCTAAACCCTAAACCCTAAACCCTAAACCCTAAACCCTTAAAATCAAATTATCACCAATAAACCCTAAACCCTAAAACACTTTAATCAGGTATTAAACCCTAAACCCTTTCGCACAACTGCAACTGCTCGTTCCCATCAAAACACACAACTAGCGCCTCCTACAAAGGGTTTTTAGGGTTTAGGGTTTAGGGTTTAGGGTTTAGGGTTTACAGGATCAGATACAGCCCTTGCCACCTCCGCTCTTGCCAACAAACGGCGCATAACAGCCGCAGGATCCCCAGGGTTTTGTAGGGGTTGTTCTATCTCCTTTACCTGCACCCAAACCCTAAACCCTAAACCCTAAACCCTAAACCCTTAGCCGTAAACCCGAATTAGTAAAGCCGTAAGCAGATATAAGAGGATAACTACATGACTAAGAAGGGTTTAGGGTTTAGGGTTTAGGGTTTAGGGTTTAGGGTTTAGGGTTTACAGCAGAAATAAAACGCTCTTCTGCCTCAGGCTCTGGCTCTAGTGGGCCTATGCCATCACGTAGCGATATCTTTAACCTGTACCATAAACCCTAAACCCTAAACCCTAAACCCTAAACCCTAAACACCAAACCCTAAACCCTAGGTCAGTGTTCTTCCATGGAAAATCTTAAACCCTAGACTGTAAACCCTAAACCACACAGCTGCATTCTTTGGGTCGCACTCCTGTCCTTCTCTAGGGTTTACGGTTTAGGGTTTAGGGTTTAGGGTTTAGGGTTTACCGCGTCCTCTGTACTTCTAAGTCTCCTTCGCAGCGGAGGCCTCTATACACTAAACACTCCCTTAGATCCTCTGGCGACAAACTGCAGCAGCAACAGCAGCAGCAGCAGCAGCAGAAGCAGAAGCAGCAGCAGCAGCAGCAAGGATGTTTAAGGGTCTGCTGAGACAATGACTGTCTCATTTACAGCAGCAGCAGCAGCAGCAACAGCAGCAACAACGGAACCACCAGCAGCAGCAGCAGCAGCAACAGCAGCAGCAGCAACAGCGGCAGCAGCAGCAGCATACTTGTCTACATCTTCTATCTTAACCCGTGCACATCTCTCCATCTGCTGCTGCGATTCGTGCTGCATGCGCAGCAGCAGCTGCTGCTGCATTTGCTGCTGCTGCTGCCTCATTTCTGCATCCTTTTGCTGCAGCAGCAAATCTAATTGTTCTTCTGTATAATATACACCATCAATATAACCACTAGTAGGTACATCTATTTCTTCTCCTTGTGCTGCTGCTGCTGCTGCTTCTGCTGCTGCTGCTGCAGATGCACCTGCTGATGGTGGTGCTGCAGCAGCAGCAACAGCATCAGCAGCGGCATCACCATGCATCTTCTGCTGCTGCTGCTGATGGTACTGCTGATGATCCTGCTGCTCCTGCTGCTGCTGCAGCTTCTGCAGCAGCAGCTGCTGCTGCTGCGCCAGCAGCGGCGGCTCCTTAGGCATCTGCAGCACACTAGCACTAAGACTATCCAGCAGCACAGCTCGTGTCCCTTGCGGCTGATTTTTTTTAGGGTTTAGCTGCCTTAAATCGAATAAATGCTGCTGCTGCTGCTGCTGCTGCTGCTGGTCCTGCTGCTGCAATTGCTGCTGCTGTTGCTGCAGGAGAGAATCGGAAGAAAACGGCGTTCTTAGGGGGTCTAGAGGGTCCATAGAACCCATATGCTGCTGCTGCTGCTCTTGCTGCAGCTGCTGCTGTTGCTGCTGTTGCTGTTGCTGCTGCAGCAGCGCATGCAGCATTGGATCTCCCGTCTGCTCTGGTAGTTGATGCTGCTGCTGCTGCTGCTGCTGCAGCAGATCACCCAACATTGGACCTCCAGTCTGCCCTTGTTGCAGCTGCTGCTGCTGGTGCTGCTGCAGTTGCTGCTGCAGTTGCTGCTGCAGTTGCTGCTGCAGTTGCTGCTCCTGCCCTTTTACTAGAATATCCCCTAAGCTATCCAATGTTGGATTCTTGCTGCTAAGCCATTCTCCTAGCTGCTGCTGCGCCATCTGCTGCTGCTGCTGCTGCTGCGCTTCCTCCTGCAGCTGCTGCAGTTGGTCACGCTGACGGAACGGCTGCGCCATCCAACCCCCATCATCATCATCTGCTGCTGCTGCTGCGAGTTTGCTGCTGCTGCTGCTGCTGCTGCTGTTATAGGTTGGGTATGCCCATGTAGCAGGTAACAACCGCTGTAGTGGGCGTGCAGCAGCAGCAGCAACTGGACCAGCAGCAGCAGCAGCAGCAGCACCAGCAGACTTGGAGGGAGGGACTAGGACACCCCCTATAAGAAGAGACTCAAAAGGAATGGGGATGAATGACCACCGGCATGTTTTGCTGCTGCTGCTGCTGCTGCCTTTGCTGCTGCTGTACCTGCTGCAGCTGCTCCTGTAGTTGCTGCTGCTGCAAGGGAGGAAGGGTCTGGTACTAGCAGGCAGCCGCTCTGCGTCTGTCGGTTCTTCCAGCAGCAGCAGGAGCAGCAAACAGTGGAGCAGCAGCAGCAGCAGCAGCGAAGTCCTCCTCAGCTGCAGCAGCAGCTGCTGCTGCAGCATTGGAGTCGTCTTCCCCCCACAGCAGCAGCAGGCTGGCTCCTTCTGCTGCCTCCCCTGCTAACTATGTGCTGCTGCTGCTGCTCTCGTTGCTGTTGCTGCTGCTGGTGCTGCTATTCCTCCTGCTGCGGCGGCGGCGGCTGCAGGCTTCGGCTGCAGCACAGGGTGTACCTACACCGCAGCAATAAGAGCAGCAGCAATAGCAGCAAATAAACGTAAATTACAATATAAAAAAAGAATTAAAGTGTTTATTTCTTTCTTAAGAAACAAACACTGAAGAACCACTAAACCCTAAACCCTAAACCCTAAACACTAGACCGTTGGGGCCCCCCAGTAGCTATATGCCACCGTCTCGGCATGTCTCTTCGGCGGCAGCAGCCACAAACCCTAAACCCTAAACCCTAAACCCTAAACCCTAGGAGTAAGTTGTTGAAACAACTGGTCAATAAGAAGTTCTTTGAAGTGGCTGTCTTGCTCAAAACCCTAAACCCTAAACCCTAAACCCTAAACCCTCGTCTGTCGCCCGCAGAGTCTGCGACAGCGGTGGCGTTTCTTTTTCTCTAGCGTAAACCCTAGAGACCATATTTTCCAAAGCCTAAACCCTAAACCCTAAACCCTAAACCCTAATAACAATGCTGGGAGCAGTAAAGGCGGGAGTGTGTATGACCATCATGACGGTGGTTTGGGGTGTACATACACCTCAAGTCTTAGCTGTGGGGCCCCAGCAGCAGCAGCAAGCAGCATTTCTTGCATCACCTGCTGCAGCAGCAGCAGCAGCATGGGGTTCTTCTCCTCAATACACGTTGCGGTGCAGCAGACAGCAGCAACCCCTGCAGCTACTTCAGCAGCAACAGCAACAGCTACAACAGCAGCAGCAGCAGCAGCAGCAGCAGCTAGCAGCAACAAGAAAACCCTTTGTTGGAGGTAATTGGAAATGTAATGGAGATACAAAAGGAATAGAAAAAATATTAGAAATGTTAAATGATGCACCACAAGAGGTTAATGATATTGAGGTAAACCCTAAACCCTAAACCCTAAACCCTAAACCCTAAACCCTAGGGATTAATAGTAAGTTGACAATATCACAGATCCTATAGACAAACACAAGAAAAGATAAATAATCTTTAAACCCTAAACCCTCCAAACAATGTAAACCCTTAAACCCTAGAAACCGTAAACCCTACAGAACTGTACATACATAAACCCTAAACCCTATAAACCCTAAGACTCGAGCCAATAAACCCTAAACCCTACAGAAGCTGAAACTCCTAAACCCCAAGAACCCTAAGGCTCGGACTACTATGTAAACGCTACTCCACTCCTACGGATTTAGGGTTTAGGGTTTAGGGTTTAGGGTTTGTGTGTGCGCAGGTAGTGGTAGCTCCTCCGTCGTTGCATGCAGGGTTTGTATTGAGGGGTTTACAACGACCATTTAAGGTTGCAGCACAAGATTCATCATTAGTTGAATCTTTTGGGGCTTTTACAGGAGAATTAGCACCACAAATGATGAAGGTAGGGTTTAGGGTTTAGGGTTTAGGGTTTAGGGTTTGAGGGGTTTAGGGTTTAGGGTTTTAGATGCATCTTTAGTTGAATCTTTTGGGGCTTTTACGAGAAAATTATCTCTACAAATTATGAAACTAGGGTTTAGGGTTTAGGGTTTAGGGTTTGAGGGATTTAGGGTTTAGGGTTTAGGGTTTAGGGTTTGGGTCTCAGGATTTTGGCATCAAGACAGTCATTGTTGGTCATAGCGAAAGGCGCGCAGGATTCGGCAACCAGCCAGTAAACCCTAAACCCTAAACCCTAATTGATAAACCCTAAACCCTAGATTGGTGTATACCCGTGTCTAGGAGCTCTTTTCAAGTACATAGTAGTAGAAGGGTTTAGGGTTTAGGGTTTAGGGTTTAGGGTTTGTGGTTTAGGGGGAGAGCAACGAGGTTGTAGCGGCCAAGGCAAAGAATGCAATTAAGAACGGCTTGCAGGTCATCGCTTGTATCGGTAAACCCTAAACCCTAAACCCTAGTCTGACAGCCTCTGCGTCTGCTGTGGAGTTCCCCTGTGAGGTCCCGAGTGTTTAGGGTTTAGGGTTTAGGGTTTAGGGTTTGTGCCATGCAGGAGAAAGTCTCGAGACGAGACAAAGTGGCAAAACGATGGAATTTATAGGAGAACAATTAAAAGTGGGGTTTAGGGTTTAGGGTTTAGGGTTTAGGGTTTGATACAGGCACCTGAATCCATTAAACGCTTGCATAGACACGTGAATCTATGTATATAATGCATAATATATACATTAGGGTTTAGGGTTTAGGGTTTACGTCCTTCAGGCCTACGCCTCTGCCTTATCCCCAACAGATTGGGGTTTAGTAGTGTTAGCTTATGAGCCAATTTGGGCAATTGGCACAGGACAGACAGCAACCCCAGATATGGCTCAGCAGACCCATAAAGGTATAAACCCTAAACCCTAAACCCTAAACCCTAATTTGTTATAATCAGCCTGTTGTTTAAGGGAAGATGGTAGTTATGCATATAAAAGAAACCACAATGAGGAGATAAACCCTAAACCCTCGGTGATTCTTCTTCGTTAGCTAGAGGGGAACACCTATAGACATTTTAGGGTTTAGGGTTTAGGGTTTAGGGTTTAGGGTTTGGGGTTTGCAGAGATCCGCCAATGGTTAAGAAAAAATGTTGGCCAACAAATAGCTGAGGATATTCGCATCATCTATGGAGGCTCCGTTAAGGGATCTAATGCTAAGGTATATACATAGCTAGCTAGCTAGCTAGCTAGCTAGCTAGCTAGCTAGCTAGATGCATGCAGCATTGTTTGTCTGTTTACTTCTGCTTGCTTTTTGTTTCTTTGTTGTTTATTTATTTATTTATTTATTTATTTATTTATTGTTTATTTATTATTTATTTTTTGCTTATTTGTGCTTACTTCCCCTCTTCCCCCCAGCCACAAAGACTATCCGAGGGTTTAGGGTTTAGGGTTTAGGGTTTAGGGTTTGTGTGTATAGGAATTATTTGGTGGTGAGGACATTGATGGTTTCTTAGTTGGCGGGGCATCATTAACATCAGACTTTCATGCTATTCTTAAGGCAGCTAAAAACCCTAAACCCTAAACCCTAATTCTTTGCTAGCTCAACAGCTAGCTAGCTAGCTAACTAGTTAGCTGGCTAGCTAGCTAGCTGGCTCGATAGTATTTATTAGACGACTGCCCTGCCCCAAGGCAGTCGTGCCAGTTGCCACCTGGCTCGCTAGCTAGCTAGCTAGCTAGCTAGCTCGTTAGCTAGATCTATGCATTATTGCATAGCTAGCTAGCCATGATGAAGGAGGAGATGGCTAGCTATCCAGCTAGCTATCCAGCTAGCTAGCTAGCTGGATAGCTAGCTCGCTAGCTCGCTAGCTGGGCATATATTGCCCTATGCAGCTAGCAAACGCCGAAATATATGGCTAGCTAGCTAGCTAGCCAGCAGGCTAGCTAGCTAGGCTCTCTCTGTATCTAGCTAGCTAGCTAGCTAGCTAGTTGGCTAGCTACCTGGCTAGCTAGCTAGCTGCTCACTGGCTGGCGAGTTGGCTAGCCAGTGGTTAGAGGCAGCGTGTCTGGTTTTTAGGGTTTTGTTTATATTTTTGTTTTAATTATAGGAGCTCGTCTGTAAACCCTAAACCCTAAACCCTAATAACCCCTAATAAACCCTAATAAACCCCAGTAAACCCTAATAAACCCTAGCAAATCCTAGCAAAACCCTAGTAAACCCTAATAAACACTTTTTCCTCCTTAGCTCCCTCTAATGCAACAAGACAAGGAGAGAAAAAGGCAGCAGATGTGGCTAATCTAAGCCCTAAATCTACAAAGGCTAGGGTTTAGGGTTTAGGGTTTAGCACACAGATGCTGCAAATGTTTGCGAATATAGATTTATATTTATTTATTTGTTTATTTATTTATATTTAGATACTTATATTTATTTATTTATTTATTTATTTTATTTATTTATATATTTATTTATTTCCTTGGTGTTGCGACTAAGCGGATGTTTTGCGTATTTTAATAACAAATGCATTTCCTGCTGCTGCTGCTGCTGCTGCTTGCTGCTGCTATTGCTGCTGCTGCTTGCTGTTGTTGTTGCTGCTGCTGCTGCTGATTTGGTTATTTATATAACTCTTTCTCCCCCCTTAATAAACAACTAGATAACTTCCTTGTTGCTCTATAGAGAAGGCGCATGCAGAGAGTTGGGGTTGCTGCTAAACCCTAAACCCTAATTCGTGTTGTATGCATATATGCATATACACCTTGTTGTGGATAAGATAGAGAAGCAGCAGCATAAAAATGAGTGTTTAGGGTTTAGGGTTTAGGGTTTAAGGTTTAAAATATAGTAAAATAGTAACAAATAGATAAGGAAATAAAAAAGGGAAATAAATAGTGTTACTGCATGCAGCTGCTCATACACCGCAATCTTTGGGGCTGTATGCAGCAGATCTTCTTGTTTATATAAACATTTATTTAATAAAAAGTTTAAATAAATACATTTATATTTATTATTTACAATATGCAGCATTAATTTAACAATAACAGCGTTTATTTGCCGCTGGTGCTGCTGCTGCTTCTTGAGGTGTACGTACACCTCAAGACCTTAGTAATCAGCAGCAACAAACATTTATTTCTTTATTGTTTTAATTTTATAGTATTAATAATATATTTGAAGTTACTAGCTGCTGCTGCTGCTGTTGTTGTTGCTGCTGCTGCTGAATGCTAGTCCCCTCTCTGTAGCCGAGGAAGAACAGGAGCGGCAGCAACAGCTGCAACAGCGTTTGCTGCTGCTGCTGCCGCAGCAGCGGCGACGGCAGCAGCAGCAAACGCTGCAGCAATGAAGCGTCTTGGTGAGCGCTTTCAGCAGCGCCGGCAGCAGACGGGATCACTGCAGCAGCAACTGGCCAGCAGCAGCAGCAGTAGCAGCAGCAGCAGCACCACCACCAGAAGCAACACTCACAGCACTGCAGCAGCAGCAGACGACTCAAGCAGAAGCGCAAGTCTTCCTGAGACTGCAGTAGCAGCGCAGCAGCAACAGCAGCAGCAGCAGCAGCAGCAGCAGGAATCCTTTAGTTCCCCAGCTTCCGCTGGCGTAGCAACAGCACCTGCAGCAACTGGAGCAGCACCAACAGGAGGAGGAGCAGCAGCAGCAGCAGCACCAGCAGCAGCAGCAGCATCTCCTTATGACTACTCACAGATTTCCCCTCGAGGGTCTTCTTATGTTTCTCAACACCCAGCAGCAGCAGAAGCAGCAGCAGCAGCAGCAGTAGTAAAACCAATAGCAGCAGCAGCAGCAGCCGCAGCAGCAGCAGCAGCAGCGGCAACATGGGCAGCAGCAGCCAATCAGCATACTCCCATAGGGGGGTTCTTTGCTGTTGACACAGCAGCAGCAGCAGCAAAAACAGCACAAGCTACAGGTGCAGCAGCAACAGCAGCAACAGCAGCAGCAGGTAGACCATTTGACGCTGCTGCTGCTGCTAATGGGGGGAGTGATGCTGCAGCAACCGCAGCAGCAGCCTCTTCTGTTGTTGCTGCTGCTGCTCCTGGTGCAGCAGCAGCAGGAGAGCCTTCGCTGCAGCATCCTGCTTTTTGTCTGCATCGTGCAGCAGCAGCAGCAGCAGCAGCAGCAACAGCAGCAAAGGCTACACGAGAGTCTTGCCAAGCCCGCCTGATTTGTTGCTTCCTGCTGCAGCATGCAGCGCAGCAGGAGGCAGCAGCAGCAAAACCACCATTTGCTGCTGCTGCTGCTACCCTTAGCTTCTTACCCCACAAAGTGTTGCTGCATCCTCCTTTGTCTGTTGCTGCTCTCCCTGTCTTAATCAGAAAGGCAGCAGCAGCAGCAGCAGCAGGGACAGCAGCAGCAGCAGCAGCAGCAAATCCACTGCGGCGTCCCCTGCAGACATCAGGGGCTGACGTAGCAGCATTCTTAGCCCAAGCCAGCAGCAGCAGCAGCAGCAACAACAACAACAACAACAGCAACAGCAGCAGCAACGGGAACAGCAGCAGCAACAGCAGCATGAGCAGCATAAGCAGCAGCAGCAACAGCAGCAGCTTGTGTGGGGTTCCTGCTGCACTACCAATGATTAAGACAGAAGAAGAAGGACAACTTAGATCTGTTGCTGCTGTTTATCCCCATCGTCTTGCTGCATTCCTGCTGCAGCTGCATGCAGGCAGCAGCAAAGGGGAGAAGCAGCAGCAGCAAGTGCTTATGACCAATGCAGCACAAGCAGCACATCAAAGACGCATGCAGCAGCACCAACAACTCTATCAGCAGCAACAGTTGCTGCTGCAGCAGCAACATATGCGCAAAAGACAGCTGCAGCAGCAGCAGCAGCAGCAAGACGAGGGATTCCTGCTGCAGCAGCAGCAGCAGGACGCAGAGCTCGAGGCCCTTCTTAGCGAACCTACTGCTAAGGTATTCTTTAACGTGCTGCTGCTGCTGCTGCTGATGCTGTTATTATCTTTGCTGCTGCTGCTGCTGTTGCTGCTGCTGCTGCTGCAACAGCAGCAATGTGTGTGCTTATGTGCTGCTCCTATATCACAACAGCAACAGCAGCAACAATAACAATGTGTGTGTGTGTGCTGCTGCTGCTGTTGCTGCTGCTGCTGTTGCTGCTGCTGCTGCTGCTGCTGCTGTTTAGAACCAAAGCTCTCATCAATTGGATACAGAAGTTCGATCTCTTCTTTCTACTCTTACCTCCAAGCAGCAGCAGGTAACTTTTGCTGCTGCTGCTGCTGCTGCTTGTGCTGCTGCTGCTGCTGCTGCTTGTGCTGCTGCTGCTGCTGCTGCTTGTGCTGCTGCTGCTGCTGCTGCTTGTGCTGCTGCTGCTGCTGCTTGTTGTGCCGCTGCTGCTTGTGCTGCTGCTTATACGCTTGTGCTGCTGCTTATGCTGGGCATTGCAGTAGATGGTGCTGCTGCTGATGCTGCTGCTGCTGCTACGTTTTGCTGCTGCTGCTCCATTTGCTGCAGCTTTAGCTGTTTTTTGTTTTTTTCTCCTTAATTAATTAATTAATTAATTTATTTATTTATTTATTTATTTATTTATTTATTCTTTTTTTTTTCTTAGCTAGCTGCTGTATTTCGTTTATCTTCTGCCGTCTTTCGTCCTCTTTGTGTTTATGGATCAAGAGAAGAATGCATGCAACAAGGAAACCCTAAACCCTACTGCAATAATGTAAACCCTAAACCCTAAACCCTAAACCCTAAACCCTAATTTGTTTTTAGCAACAAGAAAACCCTAAATCTTATCTGAATAGTCTAAACCCTAAACCCTAAACCCTAAATTCTAATATTTCATGCAATGAGGAAACCCTAAACCCTTCAATAATGTAAACCCTAAACCCTAATTCGCACACCGTGATAGATTTAGGGTTTGGGGTTTGTGCTGCAGTTACACTACAGGAAGATTATTGTTGACGGGCTCACAGGTGCGGCACGTGTTGCTGCTGCTGTTGCTGCTGCACCTGTTGCTGCTGCTGCTGTTGCTGCTGCTGCGCTCAGCAGCATATCCGTACTTCTGCTGCTTATCTCTCTGCCGCTTGGCATATATCTGTATATCATCGAGTTGCTGCTACTTCTGTTGCTGCTGCTGCTGCTGCTGCTGCTGCTGCTGCGCTGCAGACGAGCGGTTAGGGGATTGCAGCTATTTAGACACTTGTAGGCATATTGAGAAATGCCGATTTGTTCATTATGAATTCGAAGAAAGAGACAAGTCAGTCGAGGGTTTAGGGTTTAGGGTTTAGGGTTTGGTGGTACAAAGCACTGGTGCATAGCACGAGAGAATGTGTTGGGTGCCGGTAGCCGAAGAAGGATCATCGCCAGGGTTTATTAGCTTAGCGTTTGTTGTTCAGGGTTTAGGGTTTAGTGTTTAGGGTTTACGGTTAAGGGTTTAGGGTTTTGTTGCACAGGGAGGAGCCGCTTCATCCATATTCAATTGGCCCTCAGTGCCTCACAGAGAAATATCCAGCTCAGTGGATCCGCTGCGACATCAGGTACAAAACCCTAAACCCTAAACCCTAATAAACCCTTATAGACCCGTATAAACCCTAGCGTGATTCCCTATCAAGTGTTTAGTTATCAGCAGGAAAGGAACCCGTTAGTATTACGAACTAGTAGATCCTTTTAAGGATCTTACCCTCCACAGTACGTCTTCACTCTAGGGTTTAGGGTTTCGGGTTTAGGGTTTAGGGTTTTGTGTTCAGGACATTAGATTTTTCGATATTTAAACCCTTTGTTGATGTTGTGATGGCCGATCCTCCTTGGGATATTCACATGGATCTTCCTTATGGTACAATGACTGATGATGAGATGCGCAGCCTCAGAGTAAGGGTTTAGGGTTTAGGGTTTAGGGTTTAGGTTTTAGGGTTTAGGATGTAGGGTTTATTGTCTTGTCTTTAGGGTTTACCATTTATTATTATTATTGTAGAGGGTTTAGGGCTTATGATTTAGGGTTTAGGGTTTAGGGTTTAGGGTTTAGGGTTTCATCGGTGTATATGCAGGTCGATTTGATCCAAGATGAGGGTTTGCTTTTTTTGTGGGTTACGGGTAGAGCGATGGAACTCGCGAGGGAATGCTTACAGGTGACTAGGGTTTAGGGTTTAGGGTTTAGAGTTTGGGGTTTAGGGTTTAGATATCATACCCCTGCTCTGCTGGCTAGGGGTACCTTTGTCTGAGGGCTCATTCTGAAGCTGTTGGAGTTCATTGTTCGTTACTTAGGGTTAAGTGTTTAGGATTTAGGGTTTAGGGTTTAGGGTTTAGGGTTTAGGGTTTGTTGTATTTCAGCTATGGGGATATCGGCGAGTGGAGGAAATTTTATGGGTGAAGACAAATCAACTTCAGCGAATTATTCGGACGGGTAGAACGGGTCATTGGCTTAACCACTCCAAGGTAAACCCTAAACCCTAAACCCTAGCTAAACCCTAAGGTTGCCATAGAGGGAGGCCTGGCGGAGGTCTTCTTTCTCCCTAGGAGAATAAGCGTTTAGGGTTTGGGGTTTAGAACTTGCTTAGGGAGGATATCGGTTTAGTAGAGCTTAGGAGGCATTCGATTCTAGAAATTAGGGTTTAGGGTTTAGGGTTTAGGGTTTATGAATTCAGGAGCATTGCCTCGTTGGGGTGAAGGGAAACCCTAAAGTAAATCGCAATATTGATTGCGATGTTATTGTTAGCGAAGTCCGGCAAACATCTCGTAAACCTGACGAGATATACAGGTATGTAAACCCTAAACCCTAATAAACCCTAATAAACCCTAATAAACCCTAAACCCTAATAAACCCTAGACCCTAGCTACAGGGAAGGGTGAGGGGAGCTTTGGGATCCGCAAAGTCGTTCAAAGCCCTTTAAACCCCAGAATATTTTAGGGGCGACAGACCTAAACCCTAAACCCTAAACCCTACTACTACTCTCCTTCCTTAGGAAGGAAAAAGAAGGGTTTTGCATTTCTTTTTTCCCTATTCTGCTGCATGCAATAAAATATTATATTTTTTCTTCTTTTTTTTTTTTTTTAGGATAATTGAACGCATGCGGCCAGGGACATTAAAGATAGAACTCTTTGGGAGGCAGCACAACATCCGCAACAATTGGATTACCCTAGGTTAGGGTTTAGGGTTTAGGGTTTAGGGTTTGGGTTAGGCGAGGGGGTCTACAACATAGGCAATAAGTGGATATAGGCGTAGCATTAACTAGGGTTTAATGTTTAGGGTTTGGTAATTTGTATCTATCATCTAGGGTTTACGGTTCGGAGGCTGCTTTCTAGGGTTTAGGGTTTAGGGTTTACGTATGCTTGCAGGGAATCAACTGGAAGGTGTCAAGCTGGAGGAGCCAGCCGAGCTCGCCCAGCGTTACCATGCATTTGCGCAGCAGCAAGAGCAGCAGCAGCAGCAACAGCAGCAGCAGCAACCGCAGCAGCAAACTCCTATTGCTGGAGGCGAAACCTCCGATAGCCTAGGGGGAGCAGACCCTAGCTTAACTCCTTAACCCTTTTTCTTTCTTCGTATATCTTTTTCTGTTTTTCTTCATCTCCAACGAACAATATTTAGGGTTTAGTGTTTAGGGTTTAGGGTTTGGGGCTTTGGCGAAAACGCAGGACCCTGACAGGGAGTAGAGTTACCTCTTAAGAACTACTGTTTAGGTTTTAGATTGACACCTAGGGTTTAGGGTTTGCATTTCAGAGTTTAGAGATTAGGGTGTAGGATTTAGGGATTAGGGTTTAGGGTTTGGGGTTGATAAGCCTACCAGAGGAAGTGAGGGGTTTGCGATAGGGTTTTGGTTTCCCCTACAAGATGCTTAAACCCTCATTGAATTTGATTTCATGCTATTATAATAAAGAATTACATTCAGAGTTTAGTGTTTAGGGTTTAGGGTTTGAGGATTAGGGTTTACAGCGGGGTCACCTTCATGAGGGGCTGCAGCGATCGAGCAAGACAATGAGGATTAGGGTTTAGTGTTTAGGGTTTAGCGTTAAAGAAAATTTTAGGGTTTTTAATTATTGCATGCAAATTTATTAATTTAAGACAATCCATGATGCCCAAGGTAGGATTATAGGGGTGTAGTGTTTAGGGTTTAGGGTTTAGGGGTTGGTGGGCTTACAATGAGCGGTGACCTCGCGATCTCGCCGCTGCTGCTGCTGCGCTGCAGCAGCAAATATCGTCCTACCTTTTCTTTTAAACCTTTTAATATATCTGCTGCTGCTGCTTCCAAGGCTTATTTACACAATGGAGTGCCTTTCCCGCCACAGCAGCAGCTGCAGCTGGCGCAGCACCAGCAGCAGTACGAAGACGACCCCTCTGCCCAACAGCAGCAGCAGCAACAGCAGCAGCAGCAGCAACGCAGGCAGCAGTTGCAGCTGCAGCAGCTTCGTCGATTAACGCATGCGCATTTAAATTGCCTTGCTTTGGATGTTTGCCCATCCTTCGTTGGCTGCTCCTCTCTCGAGGTAGGCTTTGGGTTTAGGGTTTAGGGTTTGGGGTTTAGCGTATTCTGAGTGTTTAGGGTATAATGAGGGTTTATTCTATTCTACTGGTATTGAATATTCTAGTAATTCATGCTATTCTAAGTGTTCATGCCATATTAAGTGTTTAGGATTTAGGGTTTAGTGTTTAGTGTCTAGGGTTTAGGGTTTACGGTTTAGGGTTTGTGTGTGTGTGTGTAATTTGAAGGTGGTATATTTATACGGGAATAATTTATCCTCCTTACCATCATTAAGTTGTTTACCTCGATTAAATAAGTTGTATATACACCGTAATAAATTAATATCTTTATCTTTTATAGATAATATGCCTTTATTAACGGAGGTAGATGCATCATTTAATTGTCTACAAACCCTCGATGGTCTAAAAGGATGTCCGCAGCTAGAGACCCTTTATTTAGACTGTCAGCGGCAGCAGCAGCAGCAACAGCAGCAGCAGCAGCAGCAGCAGCAGCAGCAGCAGATAGAGGAACAGCAACAGAAAGGAAACATGCAAGATAAATGGCAACAGAAGCAACAACAGCAACAACAACAGCAAGGGGAGCAAGACCAGCAGCAGCAGCAGCAACAGCAACAGGATGAGGGGTTAGGGTTTGATGAGGAAACACTATTATCTTTGTCTTCTTCTCTTCGTTTTCTTCGCATAAGAGGAAACAAAATTAAATCAATAAACCCTCTTAGTTGTTTGCGGTGTCTGGAGACCTTAGATGCAGCAGATAATTTGCTGCAGCATCTGCAGCAACTGCAGCAAGTGCTGCAGCAATGTACAAACCTTAAACATCTAACACTAGCAGGTAACCCTATTAGCAGCAAAAAAGGTATAGAGAGCCGCAGGCAGCTGCTGGCTTGCTGCAGCAGCACGCTGCTTACCCTTGATGGTCGTATGCTGCTGCAGCATGAGCAGAGGAGGGCTCGACTGCTGCAGCGGCAGGCTAACAGCAGCATCACCAGCAGCAGCTGCAGCAGCAGCAACAGAAGGCATATCGTCACTCGCTCTAATAGCAGCAGTATGGATAGCACAACAACTGCAGCAGCAGCAGCAGCAGCAGCAGCAACAGCAGCAGCAACAGATGGGGTGCAGCAGCAGCAGAATCCAAATAAATACCGCAGTAGGAAAGTCCTGCAGAGAAGTGTCAGCAGCAGCAGCAGCAGCAACAATAGCAGCAGCAGCAGCAGCACTGGTAGGAGCTGCATCGCATGCAAAAGCATCACCAAGCAGCAGCAACAGCAGCAAACAGTAATAAGCACAGATTACCCCAGAGAATTTGTGCAGCAAACTTGCTGCTGCGGCGCCTCCCCTGTAGATAGCAGCAGCAACAGCAGCAACAGCAGCAACACCAGCAACTCTGCTGCAGCATCACCAGGTGATCCCTCTGATAGCCCAACACACGCATCACCACGTGGGTTGCTGCTAATGGAGCAGCAGCTGCTGCAGCAGCAACAGCAGCAGCAGCAGCAGCAGCAACTGCAGCAGCAGAAACACTACCTTGGCTTGAATCTTCACCCAAACAAACGTTGGCTGCGGGCACTTAGCATGCAACGGCGTCAGCGCATGCAGCGGCAGCAGCAGCAGCAACAACAGCAGCAGCAGCAGCAGCAGCAGAGGCTGCGGCTGCATCAGAAGCTGCAAGGAGATCTGCAGCAAATGACGGCATTAACAGAAGGATTGTGGCGATCGATGCAACAGCAGCAACAGCAGCGGATGACCCAACGAGGGACACCGCGGCAGCAACTGCAGCAGCAAGAGACACAGCAGCAGCACATGCTGCCTCCTAGTGAGGATAGTCTATACACTGCATGGCCGGTTTCTGCCCGCAGTGACCCATCGGGGGTTTAGGGTTTACGAGGGTTTAGGGTTGTTGGCTCATTTGTGCATAATGCCCAATCAGCTAGCTGCTGCTGACCAGTGGTCTGCTGCAGCTAGCTGCTTCTAATGGCTGCTCTGCTGCAGCTAGCTGCTGCTAACCAGTGGTCTGCTGTAGCTAGCCAGTAGTGTGTTACAGCTAGTTGCAGCTAGGTGCGGCTAGCTCCCGCAGCAGCTCGCCGCTGCAGCAGCAGCAGCTTCCGAGCTCTTTGCTGCACGCAAGCGCAGCTAGTTGCAGCTAGCCACAGTTAGCGGGTTCGGTGCCTCAGCTAGCTGCAGCAGCTAGTTGCAGCTACCCGCTGCCGCTAGCTACAGCTAGCTGCAGCGGGAAACAGCAAGGGGGGGTTTAACGTGTTCTCTGCAAGCATCACATGCAGCCAGCTAGCTACCTAGCTTGTATCTAGGAAGCTAGCCGGCCTGTTAAGGTAGTTGAACTGTAGTTGGACGTGCATTACGAGCAGCAGTACTAGCAGCAGCTCCAGCAGCAGCAGCAGAAGCAGAGGGAAAGAAGAGCTCGCTAGCTGCAGCAAACTCTGCTGCAACAGCCTACATTAATGCAACTCAAAACCTATCTCTAATGCATGCACAGATACCACTAAACCCTAAACCCTAAACCCTAAGCTTCTTGCACACAGGTTGTGCAGCACAACAGGGAGCAGCAGCAAAGTAAAACGAGTGGTGCTACCAGAAACAGCAACAACACCCCAACAGCAACAGCAGCAGCAGCAACAGCAGCAGCAGCAACAACTGCATACGCTGGGGGCAATACACTAGCGTAAAATATGTGTCTTAGTTGCATAACAATTTAATTTATAAAATGGAAAATACAAAAAGACCTGTGAACCCTAAACCCTAAACCCTAGTCCCTAGAAGCCAACAGCTGACCGGTCTGACCACAGCCGACTGGCGTCGTAAATCCTAAACCCCCAACTCTAAACCCTAAACCCTAAACCCTCGACTCTTAAATAGTGTCTTCAGCCACAAGTAGCTGCCATTGCTTCCCTTTAATCTTAAAAGAATGTTTAGAATATCTAGAGTTTCCTCTTCGAGGGTTTAGGGTTTAGGGTTTCGGGTTTCAGAGGTCACGGGCCTGCTGCATGCGACACCGGTGTGTGCAGACAGCGGTCGAGGGTTTAGGGTTTTGGGTTTGAAGAATTTTATGTTAAAGAATTTAATTTTTTTAAATATTTAAAACATAAAACATCGCACGGTCGTAAACAGGTCTACACAGAACCTTTTTGCTGCAGCAGCAGCAACAGCAGCATCAGCATCAACGTGTAACAGCTGTTGTGAATTGGCCAGTCACCCAGCTGACCCACTACGTATATCTATGGCCTGCGTAACCCCTTAACTAAATAATACACAACACATATTATTTTATAAACCCTTAAAATACAATTCTTATTAAAAAGAGGATTTAATAAGCCCGTTTCTTAAGAAGTGTTCCCCCGCTTCCCCCCCCGA